AAGAAAGAAGGAAAAAGAAAGGGCAGGAGGGAGGGAGAAGGAAGGAAAGAAAAGAAAGAGGGCTTGGGGGAGCATTTGTATTTCCTAATAGTATAAGAATTTTACCAGAATATATACTGAAATGTGTATTGGGTTTCTGTTTATTTTGTGTATTTCTTGTTCGATTACCAAAGGGTCTTCTCCTAGATTCCCTTGATTGTGTTCTGTTAATTCCATTAATACAAAAAAATGACGTTTTTAACATAACCCTGCCTCTTTACTTGTTGAGATCTCTGACTTCTTGTCTGCTTTCTCCTGTGACATTGTGTCTTTCTGTTCAGCACTGAATTTCCAGAGTTTAGACAGTGGCACAAGGTAGAGTCTCCAAGAATAAATTAAGGGAAATATTTCTCCCCTTCTTGACGATTTCCTATCCGTCTTTACAATGATCTCTCTGTCAGTTACCGGGCAGCATCTTTATGACGCCTAAGGCCAAAGTGAATGCAGTCAGACACTTAAGAGTGACCTCAAATGACGGTGACACAGTCTAACAAAATCAGTCAAATGCCACAAGGGCTTTTTCCATGTTTTCCTTATTTTTTCCCAGTTGAGATCTTTAGCTTGAAAGATGGCAGCGGATGGTCCCAAATCCCCACATAAAAATAGCAGCCAGGGAGCAAAACCAAAAACCCACAGACATTTACATCGAAACTAAGTGACGAGGTCTCCCCTCCAACCCCAAAGTACAAGCCACTAGGGACACAGAAGAGAGGAATGCCAAAATAAGCCTCGGGCACTCACGGGGATGCGCAGGGGGCCAAGCCAGCAACCACAGCTGGAGCCAGTTTGCCTGCCTCAAAACAAGCACACCATGTCACAGAGGGGGCTCTGTGACATTTCAAAAGCTATCCTGAGCCAAACTTCCCTCTAAAAGTATAGAAATGTTTACTCACATAAATGTCAGCAATGGAAATGTCCAAGGCGAAAGCCCATGCAAAGTTTCTAGCAAAAAGAAAGAATAAAGAACAAATGAACATCACAAAAAGACATGCCCGGGCTCGTGAGTGGCTCCATTGGTTGAGTGTCCGACTTCAGCTCAAGTCATGATCTCACAGTTCGTGGGTTCGAGCCCCGCGTCGGGCTCTGTGTTGACAGCCTAGAGCCTGGAGCCTGCTTTGGATTCTGTGTCTCCCTCTCTCTGTATCTCTCCCCCACTTGCACTCTGTCTCTCTCTGTCCCTCAAAAATGAATAAACGTTAAAAAAAATTTTTTGTTAAAAAAAATTTTTTTTTGTTTAAAGACATGCCCCGTAAAGCAGGTGTAAATGGAGCCCACTCTTTCAAGCAAGCTAATGTACATTAAGAACTTGGGATGAGCACTGGGTGTTGTATGGAAACCAATTTGACAATAAATTATATTTTTTATTAAAAAAAAGAAAATACAGACAAAATGTAAGAATACATAACATGGAATTAGAAAAACTCAGAAACGAGATCACAAAACTCATGGAATAGTAGAAATAAAGAGAAAAATCATTTTAGAAAATAAATTATAATGATACAAGAATGAATGAAGTCAACACAGAAGGGGCGCCTGGGTGGCTCAGTCGGCTGAGTGTCCAACTCTTAATATCAGCTCAGGTCATGATCTTGGAGTCATGGGATCAAGCCCCACCTAGGGAATCTGCTTGGGATCCTCTCTCTCCCTCTCTCTCTGGCCCTCCCCCATAAGCGCACATGTAGGCATGCACTTTCTCGCTCTGTCTCTCAAAATAAGTAAATAAGATTTTTAAAAAGTCAGCACATGTGGCTTTAAGAGAAAAAAAATGTGAAAGACAGAAACATCTCCTCCCCTACCCCTCACCTTCTGAAGGATACGTGTCCTTTCTGTAATCTTTCTGTGCCTCAGTTTCCACAATTGTGGGAACATTAACAGCTCCAACCCCATCAAATCACTGTGAGTATTTAATGAATTGGGTGATGGCATTCAGGGCCATGCTTGGCACAGAGTTAGAGTGTCCTGCTGTTGGTGGTGGTGGCGTTCTCGCCCCGTCTCTGGCACACTCAGGGGTTGCCATTCGGAGGGCTGGTGACTTCATGGTGTCTTTGTGGCCCTCCCCCACCAGTGCACGTCACAGAAGCATGGAGCACCGAGAGGGTGGCCACTGCTTAAGGGCCAAATACAGGAAGAACAAATACAAATTAATGTTCCCCTAAGTTAAGTTTTCCTGTCCCATCCTGGTTCGATAACTGCATTTGGGAAAAACTTTGACCCAAAGTCAGAGTTAGTGTTTCTCAAACTCTCCTTGGAGTTCAGAGCCTGCCCTACAGATGGGAACGCCCAGCAGGCTCTCCGCGTCCCATCTTGGAAGGTATGACTGAAATATTTACATATGAAACGCCGCCCCCCCCCCCAAAGCTTCGGAGTCTTGGCCGGCCTGTCCCAATACAAAGTCAACCTGGAGCAGTCTGTCTGCTGACCTCGTTCCGGAAACTGGGTGGCCTGCGTCCAACGTAACGTTCATAAACAAGTCAGCACCACTGAATTTTAACCACGTCGCCCGTGTCCCCATCCTTGTCGTTGGGAGATGGTGCCGTGTGCGCCCCTGACAGAGTCGGGGTGGGGGTAGCAGAATGTCCTTGTGCTCGGGGGTTGGGGGGAGGCCCAAACACTGACCAGCAGTGTCTGTTCCAGGCCTCCAGTCCTTGTCCCTGAGGAACATATTTAGGAAGCTAGTACTTGCTATAAATTGCTCTGTTCTTGTTCTTCCTACTCTTTTTTTTTTTTTTTTTTTTTTTTTTAGTTTATTTACTTATTTTGAGAGGGAGAGAGAGAGCATGTGCTCAAGAACAGGGGAGGGACACAGAGAGAGCAAGGATCCCAAGCAGGCTCCACACTGTCAGCACAGAGCCCGATACGGGGCTCGAACTCAAAAACCATGAGATCACGACCCGAGCCCAAACCAAGAGTCCGACACTTAACCGACTGAGCCACCCAGACGCCCCTTTCATACTCTTTTTAATGCTGTGTGGGGTAAAGTGGAAATTTTAGAGGCTGATCCACCCTAAATATTTTCTTGTTTCTCATGATTTTCTTTTGCTATTATGCCCGTCTTCTCTCCCATTATTTTACTCCTTCCGCACTGGTTTGCTGCGGCTGCTATAACAGCTGTCACAACCCAAGGGGCTCAACAGCAGACACATATCCGCTCCAGTCTGGAGGCCACAAGTGCCAGATCAGGATGTCACAGGGGCTGTCTCCTCCCAAGGACTCAAGAAGCTGGCGCTCTGCTGGGGCCTCCGTGCGCCCACCCCTCCCCAGCCCCGCGTCGGTCCTGCTCCTGACTGCCAGCCCTCCCGCCTGGCTGCCACACTGCCCTCCCGTCCCCGCGACCATCTTCACGCGCCCTTTCTGAGTGCGCGTCCGTGTGCGCATTTCCCCAATTTATAAAGGACACCCGCCATATGGGCCTGGGATCCGCCCGGACGACCTCCCCTTCGCTCGTTCTCTCTGCATCAGCCCTATTTCCAAACAGGGTCACATTCGGAGATGTTGGAGATCTGGATTCCAACATAGGAATTTTAAGGACACGCATTCCCTGCGTCTTCTCCGTCCACTGGTGTAGGTTTTTTGCCCTCGTGCATGCCTTGTACCTAACACACCTTTTCATCCACCATTTCCTTCCTCCCTCTCTGGCAGAAGACCTGCTATCTGTGCAGGGAAATCCTGAAGTTTCCAAGCTCTGCCTGAATAGATGGGGAGCGTTTATGGCTTCCACACTGGGCAACAGCGAAACTCAGCGACACACTTTCGAGCTGAGTCTCAACACCTGGCCGGCAGCCAGGGCTAGTGTGTCTTTCTCTCCATCAGAACCGACACTCACTAATTCAATTTAAAATTCTTTTTAATGTTTATTTATTTGTGAGACAGAGACAGAGCACGAGTGGAGGAGGGGCAGAGACAGGGTGCGGGGGGGACACAGACTCCGAAGCAGGCTTCAGGCTCCAAGCTGTCAGCACAGAGTCCGACGCGGGGCTCGAACTCACAAACCATGAGATCATGACCTGAGCCCGAAGTCGGTCGCTCAACCGACTGAGCCACCCAGGCGCCCCTCAGTAATTCAATTTAATATGATGTGTCTGAATAAAGTCTGTGAGGTTCTAGAAAATATGGTGCATCTGGATATTAATGTGGATTTATTTAAGCGGGAAAATTGGGGTCACTTTCAGATCACCTCTAATGTCATGTTTATAGCAATAAGCACTGGATTTAATGGTGGCTACAGGATCTCTTCCTGCTCTAGTGAAGGTGAAATTAACCACTCTTCTATTTATTACCTGCTCATTAAAAAGCATGGGGATCGGACGCCGCAGTAGAAGCTTTCATTATCGCTCACTCTCTCCACCAATACCCACTGTCCTTGCCAAGGACTTTTTGTCATGTGGAAGCTTTGAAAGCCTGCCCTGCACAACAAAACAGCCATCATTAGCTGGGTTTTAATTCTAATTTTCTTAGCATTCGAAAATGCTTGTTTAAAGCTTCTCTTCCTTCACACACATGAAAGCGCATTATATTTGACACACGCGTATCACATGCAGATCCTTCTTATGGAAAGCAAACATCAGAGACAAAAACGATCAAGACACTGTGACTCATGCACTGAATATTTTTCCTTCAGACTCTGGTACACATCAAGAGAGAACCGCACAAGCATGTAAAGGTCCCTCCTCATGACAAATGGAGACGGGCAAACTAATTTTCTTGGTGACCTTATCCAAATTAGTTAGAAGATAACACTTCAGATTTACGACGAGTTACAATTAAGACCTTTGATGCCTTCTAATTAAACCTGTAAAGATTTATTTCTATTATTATTCCTTTGGTAATCCTTTGCAAATGATAAAAATGTAAATGAATATTGCCCTCCAAAAGAGATGTTTCCATTTGTCCTAAATTAGACTCCTTCCTTTCCAAGGATTGCGTTTCAGTTCAGATGCACACCTGCTCCAGTACAAATTCCACGTTGACCTTAAATAATTTACTTTTAAAGTTTGTGCAAGTGTTAGACACAGTCGCTCCGCCTAGAAACCGAATAAAAAGCCACCACATTCTTGTGCACTTTGTCTGTCCTGCATCTTGGAACTCTGTGCCACCTCACGTGTTCAACATGCAAAGGTAATCTTTAGAAATGCGAGGGGGTTGGCGTCAGACTCGAGAGACTCCCCAGTCACTGCAGCCGGGAGGCCTGGCTTTTCTCAAGCCTCTGTCCGAGAAAAGAGGTGTTCTTCATCACGACTCTCCGTAACACCATTGTATTTGCCCCAACATGTTGAGTGTGTATTCTGCATTAGTTTCACCAGGGCCAAACTGATGCAGCTCAGAGCAGTACCGCCTCCCAGGTCCTTATCCTCTGTCTCTTTCCCCCTAGGAGAGTACAGTTACTTGGGGACCACTCTTCGCCAGGTATCCATAGAGCCCATGCCTTCCCTCCTGGACGTGAGACAGCTCATCGCCCTGTACGGGATCTTGCCTCTAGGTAAAGACTCTACATGCCCCGTTATGCTTCTCTTAGAGGCAGGGACGCCCTGCTTGGTGACTTGGGTAGCATCTTCCTGGCTGAACTCTTCCTACTGAGGATTTTGACCGAGGGTCTCTCTGTTGCGATAGCGCGCCCCGGAGAGCACACGCCGGCACCGCTTTGGGGTGCCTGCTTGACATTCTGGGCTGAAGGTCCTGTCGGCAGTCATGCGGAGAGATAATAACCGAAGCCAGCACCTGCGATTAAAATTAATCAAATTAGACGAAGGGCTAACATCAGGCTTGCCTTCTAGACATAGGCTTCGGTTACGAGGTCCTTAACAAAGCCGGCCTTTGGCGAGTCAGTGAGAAGTGTATTTCGTGGATCCGAAGGATCAAGGCTCCACCGGTTTCCACTGATGGCCGCTGTAACCGCTAAGTAAGATTCAATCGTGATTGTTCGGACCGGCGGACCAGAGTCCTGCGGTGTGCCGACAGGTGCAGGCGAGTCAACAGAGAAACCTGCTGCTCTCATTAGCTGTTATTATTTTATGACGTTTTTTATGTGCATGACCTGAGTCATCCGGGGCAGAGGTCGGAGCCCCAGCCAGGCTTTGCTCTGATGACAATTCCGAAATAGAAACCATGTTTCATTTAACTGGCTTTTGAATGGTATGGGAGGGGCGCCTGGGTGGCGCAGTCACTTCGCCTCTTGATTTCGGCTCAGGTCATGACCTCACGGTTCAGGAGATGGAGCCCTGAGTTGGGGTCCAAGCTCAGCTTGGAGCCTGCTTAGGGTTCTCTCTCTCTCTGTCTCTCTCTCTCTCTCTCTCTCTCTCTCTCCCCCTCTGCCCCTCCCCCACTCATTTTGTCTCGAAAAAAAATTTTTTTAATAAATAAATAAATAAATAAAATGGTATGGGGGTGGTTTAGGCACTTATAATATTGTTCCACTTTGACTTAAATGTACTGGGAAGAAATAGCTCGTTCCTCTGTCAGAAGTAGTAAATGGGATTGGGGGAGTCAACATAAATTTCACACATAAAATTTACGTCCTAAATAAGCATGTGTACTTGGAGGGTCAGCCTGATGTGGGGCCAACAAGATAAACACGCCATATTTACGAGGCCCCTGCAAATAACGTCACGAGCCCTCCGGCTTCATCATGCTGTGATCCAAGAACAGGACAGCAGGCAGCAGCACGTTGTTTTCACGGGTCTCCTAACAAATGAGGGGAGGTATGTTCGACCCGTGGCTCGAGGATACACGGGGATAGATGTTGCTTGCAAGCTGGCGTTGAAGCATCGGACGAAGGGGGCTCGGGAAGCGTCCCACTGAACCCCCTTTTGTCAACGAGGAGCCTGACGTCCCCATGGGCTGCCGACCTCCCCGGGCCCCAGAAAGGGGAGGGGTTTGTCCTCGTGACCCGTGTGTGTGTGTGTGTGTGTGTGTGTGTGTGTGTGTGTGTGCAAGGCACACACAGGCCAGACAGGCAAGTACGCTCACAGATCTGCCTTCGAGAGCTTCATTTAAATGTCATGGATCTGAAATAGTACCAGTCACAAGAGGGAGTGTGTCCTTTGGGCCTGTTGTTCAGGTCACCACCGGACCTGGCCAATAGGGCCACTGCAGAAGCCCTGAGGACCCACCGTGAGGCCTCTCTGCACCCAGAGCCTCCGCCAGGGATCCCGGGGTGAGGCGTGAGCTTTCCAAGCCCCTTGGGCAGATAAGGGAGTTCCCAGGACGCATCTGGTCACATTCCACCACTCACCCTCCCAGAAATATTACTGTCCCTCAAAACACAGAGGGAGAAAAGGAAGGGGGGCGGCGCTCACGGAGCGGAAACGTCATGCTGACGAGTTTTACACACGTCGTTTCGGCCCCCGCTTTTGCAGCTGAGTGAGCCTTTCCAGGATGCCGAGGAACTTTCTCAGGGTCCAGGGGTAGGGAGTGACAGAGCTGCGTTTAGGAAGGGCACGGAACACTGGCCTCCTTGTGATTCTCGCATCCTCCGAGAGTTGGAAAGTGTGAATGCACAGAATCCTGGACGTCTCTGTCTCTTGGGAATTCTGCGTATTTTTAAAAAACTGCCACTGAAAGGCGATGAGCAGGAAGGGCCGTGAACACCGTGGCAGGCGTGCCCGCCCATCGGATGGGCTGTCCAGGGACCAGCCCCGGCTGCAGAGGCCTCCCCAAACCACCGCCTTCCCCTCCCTGAGTGACCTTGGTGACCACCCTCTTCCTCTAGCAGGTCGCTTCCCTAGAGTGAACAGCACATGTTCTCCTGGGTCTCCCCCATCCTTGCGGCTTCCCTCCTGCTGCCCCCTCCTCAGAGTCTGCCCTCAGCACCGTTCTGTCCTCCCTCCACCCCTTCCAAGACCTCTCCCTGCTCCCTGGCTTCAGCCAGCAACCTTAGCAAACCTGCAGCCGCCAGCCACCTTCCAGGGACCCCTAGGGCTGGCCACACTCTCCCTCCCCAGCCCCTTGCTGTCCCCTGCCCCATCGCTAGTAAGAACTACCTGCCCGAGTCCCACTCCAGGCCTGCAGTTACGGGGCCCCCCCTCGCCTGGCTTCGCCTCACATGTCCCCGTCTCTACACGGTCCAGCTCGGCCCCTTCCGAGGCCACCCTCTCCCAGAAGTCAGGCCTGAGCCCCCCATCCCCCAAGGTGGGATTAAGTTCTTCTCTGAACCCTCCGTGGCTCACACGGATCTCAGCACTATTTGCCTCCCATCCTGGTTACATCCACTGAGGTTTAGCTCCCGTCCTGGCCATAACCTTCTGCAGCAATCCCTGACTCTTCCACATGGGAACCCCACCAGCCCCCAGCCAGCAGCCCCCAATACCGGGTACTGAACGGACCACCCCTGGAATGGTGCCCCTCTCCTAGCATGACAAACAGCATCTCCTTTATCATATTATGTTACCGTACCCCTCACTGACCACCAATAACACGTGCTTATGTGAGGGCATTTTATTTATTTATTTTTTTTTTGGAAGAGGGAGAGCATGAGCTGGGGAGGGGCAGAGAGAAAAGGGACAGAGGACGTGAAGGGGGCTCTATGCTGACAGCAGTGAGCTCAACGTGGGGCTCACACTTAGGAACCATGAGATCATGACCTGAGCCGAAGTCAGACGCTCACCCAACTGAGCCCCCCAGGTGCCCCTGTAATTGCATTTTGAACAGAACTTGCTCAAAACTGGTTTCCAAGTTTATGTTAGGTAACCATAAAACAATGTTTCTGGTTACTCGGTAAATTCCCTATATCTTTTCAATGACACAAGGGGCAAAAAAAAAAAAAAAAAAAAGGCACAATAATAATTGCAATATGGGTCTATTTACAGCTGATCGAAAAGTGCCCAGAGGTTGAGCAAAGCAAAGTCACGTGATAGGAGATGGTTTGATCACATTCATTCCGTTCGTGGTCTAATCACTTAGTGCCAGCATGCTCTCCGCGCATGTTCAGAACCACAGAAGATGGTCAAACCGAGTCCCGCTCTGGCCCGGGGGGAGACGGACAGTGTGGGGGCCTCTGATGCCTGCATGGAACTCGGGTCACTGCAACAAGTGTCAGGCTGCCCCTGCTACAGGCTAGAACCTCGGGCAGAACAAGGAAGCTTCCCCCTTTCCCTTCTGAGGATCACTAATGAACATTCTCAGCCCTCCTTAGCGGCTGTGTGTCCACATTCTTTTTCCCAAGCGTTCAAAGAATGTAGCGCCACTGCTGACAAGCAGAGAAATCCACACCCGCCCCCCCCCAAAAAAAATGCCAGAGGTGAGTTATTGCAGGAATGTCCTTTAAAATGATGGGCTGGGGCCGGGGTGGGGGCGGGGGGGAGGTATTCTAGGGTGAGGGGCAGCAGGGAAGCCACGTACCAAGACCCTCTGGCCCCTCCTCGAGCCCTGACATACAAATCAAAGGTGTCACAGCCCAACTAAGACAGAAGGTGGGCCTCTGGGTAGAAATGCTCTGGACACATACCTCCCTGTTGCAGAAACAGGGGTCACGCGGTGGAGGGGTGGCCTTGAGGGGCTAAGAACTCGCTGAAGCGGGATTTTAGAGCCCGTGCCTCTGACTTTTTTAGGTTCTGCAACAGTGCACGAGAACGCTCCTTTGGTGAAATCCCTGCTGTTGGCAGGGCCATCTGGGGTAGGGAAGAAGATGCTGGTCCATGCCATCTGCACCGAAACGGGAGCCAACCTCTTCGACTTGTCCGCAGCCAACATCGCCGGGAAATACCCCGGCAAAGATGGCCTCCAAATGATGCTGCATATGGTCTTCAAGGTATTTACCGCAGTTCTTGGCTCTTAATTAATACTCCTCCCTTGTGCAAATCACGGTGTCAAATCCTGCAGCTCGTTTCCATAAGCCAGCGAGCGCGGACCCTCGCAGATGATTTCCTCAGGCTGACACACACATCTCTCTTCAACTCCCCCGTCGCGCCCTCCTATAAATTAGTTCATCGTTGCCTCTGGCCGAGCCTCCGACAGGTAGAAACAGCTGCTCTCTCTGCATAAACACCCTCGGTGTCATCCAGACCAGCCTCTTCCTGCCGCAGGAGTCCTTCCTGAAATGCCTGCGTGCGTTGTTGAAATTGAAAGCCACAATTTCTATTTCCGGCCCACCTCCCTTCGATAATGGCATCAGTCATTCGCCTTTTGGGGGGATATTCTTCCACACGTGGCATGAACCTCCAAGGCCCGGTTCCTTGGGCACATCGGCTTCTCACACAGGTAACAAGGAGGAACCTGCAGGAGCGTTTACCCCACACACACATTTACCCCCACCCCCGCCACACACACACACACACACACACTGTTTTCGGGGTGGGGGGGCCAGCAAATGCTCCATGATATCTGGCTGGAGGATAGGGTTTCCTAAAAGATCCATATACCACCCAGCTCTGTGATCTTAGATAAGTTCTCCACCTCCCCCAGTCTCTGTCTTACATCACCAAAATGAAAATGGTACTGAAGTGTTCTGTCAGCCCTAAAAGCAATGAGTCTCGGATATAATTTAGATATGAGTGATTGTGGTAATAGATGTTGCTAGGTAGGTAGGTAGGTAGGTAGGTGATAGATGGATGAATGGATAGATAGATGATAGATAGATAGATAGATAGATAGATAGATAGATAGATAGATAGAAAACATGCATATATACAGACAAGGATTAGCAAGTTTTCAAACATTTTGGTACTGAATATTTCTATTTAGTTTTAAAACTTCACAGGGTTTTGTTTTTATTTCGTGGACTACCTCGAGGTCGTCTTTATGCTGCTCGATTCACTCGTAGTTGTGAGCATGCCAGATAAGCCAGGTTTAACTATGGGAAGGTGTCCATGCAGCACGGCGACCCCATACCTGGGGTGAGGTACGAGCTGTGCCTCAGCCCTCGGGGGCTCAGAGGCACGGTTATCCATAAAGTTGCCCAAGGGGATGGTGCCTTTTCCGCATCACGCTGACAGCCATAGGGAGGACGTGATCGTGGTGGGATTTTGTTCTCTCGGCCTCGTGGTCCCCAGCGGTAGGTCAGGTCAGAACATTTCCCATTCTCCCTTTCTCCCCCGCTTGTCCTGCAGAAATTCACAGAGAGAATTGTCCAGAGCTGGGAGACGGGAGAGGAAGAAGGTGGGTGGGGAAAGACCACTAAGGTATTTAACAGGGCACCTCGTTCGGACCAGCTGTCTCACCTCTTTGTGTCGTACATTGGACCTTCACAGTGGCCCCGCGAGGAGGCCATCCCCGCCCCGTTTACCGATAAAGAAACTGGGGCCCTGAGAGGGGTAGCAACTTGCCCAAGGCCACCGAGTCACGTGGCTTGGCCAGGGTCACCTAGGTCCTTCTCTTCTTGGCCCTCCTGCACCATTGTTATCAAGGTCAAAATTATATACGGTGAAATGCACAGACCTTAATACATTTTAAGTGCAAGCTTTGGAAACTGTGCACAACTCTACAGCCGCCATTTTCTGGTGACCGTCTGGTCCTTGTAGAACTTCTTTTTTGAAATATCTGTCCAAGGCATTTGCCTACTTTTCACTACACGGTTGGTCTTGCGATTTGCAAGAGTTCTTTATGCGTTCCGGACACAAGTTCTTTGCCAGACATACGTATTGCAAATATTTTCTCTTGTTCTGTGATCCGCGTGCTCATTTTTAAATTTTTTTGTTGTTCACATGTCCCATCAGTTACTGACCTAGCGTGTTACAACCTCCCACCGTGGTCATGGAACTCTGTATTTCTCCTGTTCTGTCGGCTTGTGCTGCGTGGACGTTGAAGCGCTGTTAGGAGATGTGCCCACATTTAGGATTGGTGTGACCAGCTGTTTAGTTATCTTATCATTGAAATGCCTCTTTTTGTCCCGGAAGTGCTCCTTGTCCTGAAGGCTCCCTGGCCTGATACTAATAGAGTCACATCAGCTTTCTTGAAACTGTCAAGAAAGGACATAGTTAAAGCGCATTTCTTGTGCAGAGCCCATGGTTGAGTCTTGCTTTCTTATTCAATCTGACAACATATGCCATTTCATTGGAGCCTCTCCTCCGTTTACATTAAATGCGTCATTCAGACAGTTGTGTTAGGTCCGCCATTTTGCTCTTTGCTCCCCATCACCCCATTTCTTCTTTTATTCTTCTGTTTGTCCTTTCCTGCCTTCCTTTGGGTTAACTCAATACTTTTTGTTACTTTATTTAGATTCCTGTATTGTCTTTTTAGTGATTCCTCTGTCTTAATCAATGGATTACAATAGTATTTTCAATTTAGCACCGTGGACACAGAGCTCATATTGTACTATTTTACCTAAAATGTGAGAAAAATAGAATCCATTTATTATCCTTTGTCCTTTATGTTTTTCTCATGGATTTTACATCTAAAAGTGTTATAAACACCACAAAAAAAGTGGTATTATTTTTGCATTAAATAGTCATTTGTCTTTTAAAGAAACTAGGTGGGGGGAATTAAGTACGTTACACCCATCCACTATATCCCTCTCGCCAATCCAAGCTCCCACCTGCTGCCATTTCCCCTTCAGCTGAAGGACTTCATTAGCATGTTTTTCAGTGCAGGTCTGCTGGCAACAAATATATTTTAGCTTTCATTTGATTTTTTTTAATGTGTATTTACTTTTGAGAGAGAGAGAGAGCAGGGGGAAGTCAGAGAGACAGAGAGAGGGAGAGAGAGAATCCCAAGCAGGCTCAGAGCTATCAGCACAGAGCCTGACACGGGGCTCAAACCCACGAACCGTGAGATCATGACCCGAGCCAAAATCAAGAGGCAGGCGCTTAACCAACTGAGCCACCCAGGCGCCCCTCCTTTGATTGATTTTTAAATGTCTGTTCAGCACCTTCATTTTTGAAGGCACATTTTGCTGGATACAGAACTCTGGATTATATTTTTGCTTTCAGCACTTTAAAGATGTTATTCTGTCATCTTCTTACATCCATATTTCTCATTAACAGTTATCAGAAATTCGAATTGTTGATCTCCTGGATGTGATGTGTCATATTCTCTGAATGCTGTTAAATATTTCTCTTTACTATGCTTTTCCTCAGTTTCACCCTAATGGGTCTGGGTGTTTTTCGGTTTTTCTTTGTACTTAAACTGCTGTGTGGCTCACTGTGATCACCGAATCCACAGATATATGTTTTAAACCAAATTTCAGAAATTTTGGCTACGATTTCCTCAAATATTTTTTCTGCCTCATTCTCCCTCCTCTCCTTTGGATGCTCCAAGTACATATATATTATGTTCTACAAGTCACCCGGGTCTTGTTCTCTCTAGTTTCCACATTGGATAATTACAATTAGTCAGTGTTCAAGTCTACCTACCTTTCCTTCCACTGGTGCCAATCTGCTCTTACGTCTATCATGTGGGTATATTTTTTTGTATTTGATATTTTGTTTTTCAGTTATAGAATCTAATGTTTATTTATTTTTGAGACAGAAAGAGAGACAGAGCACAAGCAGGGGAGGGGCAGAGGGGGAAGACACAGAATCCGAAGCAGGCTCCAGGCTCCGAGCCGTCAGCACAGAGCCCGACGCGGCGCTCGAACTCACAAACTGTGAGGTCATGACCGGAGCCGAAGTCGGACGCTTATCCAACTGAGCCACCCAGGTGCCCCTTCAGTTGTAGAGTTTAAATTTGCTTATTTTTACAGGTTTTTATTTCTCTCTTGCAATTCTCCATCTGTTCATTCAAGATGACAATCCTTTCCTTTAAGTCTTCGAGCTTAACAATTGGCTTACATTTCTTGTCTACCAATTCCAATATGAAGGCACTTTGGAGTTTCTTTCTATCTGACTTTTTTCCCTGACCGTGTGTCACATATTGCTGTTCCTTCATATCATTAGTAATTTTTCTTTGCATGTTAGACATTGTGGATGGTATGCTGTTGATGCGCTGGCTTTGCTCTGACCGGCAGTTAAATTACTGGCTGATCAGCTTGAGCTTGCCGAGGTTTTGTTTTCCATTTTGGGATTGTGGGTCTATTTTGATTTTTGCCCTTAGCCTAAGGTGAACCTCTGAGTCCTAGAACATCATCTTCACTTGAACGAACCTTAAATGGAAAGCCTGAGGTGTTTAACAAGCGCTTTTAATGTGGCAAAGGCTAAAGTATATGCTTAGTAATTTCCCAGCTGTTGCTCTCCACTGAGCTCGGAATCTTCCAGCATGCAGGCACCTTTCTGAGGTCAGCTAAGGCTCTGAACGCGGGTTGGAACTTAAAGCCCAGCAGCCTGGCTGGTGGCCTCCTGTACTTACCCACGAAGCTCTAAACACCAAGTGCTTCCATGGAAAAGTAAAAGACACCTACGCTCTTGCCCTGCCCCCAAAAAAACACCTAAATTCATCCATCCTCAACACCTAACCGCGTTGACATTGTAAGTAACAGGCAGAAGCACATAAATATTAAACTATCGGCATTTCACCAGCATCTTGTTTCGTATTAACTCGTGCAGTCCTCACAACCACCTTGTGAGGTAGACGCTATCATCATCCCCGTTTTGCTGATGCAAAAACTGAGGCGCAAAGCATTTAAGTAACTTTCCTGGCCTGCCGTGCTGCGACGCGAGCCTCCAGACGTGATGACTGCATCACTCTGCCTCGGACGGAGGTAGGGCTGACATAAGCCTCTTCGCCCTCCTGCCGCATGGCTCCCCTGCTCCTGGCACGACCCTAGGACAGAGCCAATGACAGGATCATGATGTTCTCTCGCTCAAGACATTGTTTCTTCTGCTACTGAGAGGTTGTCTTGACAGCGGGTAAGCTGTCTTCGCGTTTACTAAAACCATC